TATTGCTTTGTTATTAGTGTTTTAGTCGCTGTTATCAGTCTGATCTGATAATATTACGTCTTAGTTTACACTGATATTCTTTCTTTCTTTTTGTTGTGTTTTCCAGTACGAGTATCTAAACATCATTTGAGGTGTGTGTGTGTGTGTGTGTGTGTGTGTGTTCTTTGCCAGTATTTGTGTCTTGTTTTCCAGTAGTAGTGTTTAAACATCATGTGAGATGTGTTGGCCAGTAGGTGGCGCTGTCCTCGATCGGCTCAGACTCTCCTTTAGCGATTCTCCGTCAGGAATCGGTTCTGAAGCCCACTGGGGGTTCTCACTCACTTCTCAAGAAAATCTCACAGAGAAATTACCAAGTTCTCAGCGTTCTTACTGAGTTCTCACTTACCTCGTTTCCACCGAAAAAGAACGGGTTTGGGAGATGTGGATTTCGTTTCCCGTCCAAGTTCATCGTGACCGTGAGGGATAAAGAAACGAAAACTTTTGATTCACCCGAGTCGGCCGAAATATTTCTACGGGGCGCGGTGGAAAACTGGTGAAATTGCTACGTTGGACAACAGAGTCAGAAGAGACTTGTGCTTAAATAATTCCATTTGATATATTGAAAAGACTACAAGGTATTGTTTTTGTTGTATTTGCTAAGATGAGTGGTGGGTTATATTAACGGAAGAATGCCAGGTGGCATCGAGGGTGAGTTGACAGATGCAAATGTAGCTGGTTTAAAAAAAATTGTGAAATATAATTAAGATTGTTAGTGAACTTCATCAAAACTTAACTATTTTTGTTTTCGTATTTTGTGTGAGTTGTAATCCTATAAAATGTACATAGTTCTAGTGGGAACCAATTATGCAGAATACTGTTGTATATGGGGCACATATTGGTGACGCAACGATAGCTCGTGCGATGTGCGATCAGCGCCATATTTAGAAGCACATTTTCCGCTGACTGGGTCGGGTGTGCTCTCTCTCGCTCATCTGACGAGCGTGCTGCTGTCTGTGCTGTATGAGCTGTATGAGACTGAGAGGGAGAGACGTGTATCTCACGGGAAAAAAGAGTATTAATTGTGCTCTGTATTTCTGCAGAATAAAGATCCTGAGACCTCTTCAATCGGCGTTGTCTTCATTGAATAGAAAATAAACACAACCAGAGTAAAACTGCTACATAAAAATGGTGCCGTGACCTACTGGATCAACTGGATTGGCCGCAGCCGATCGCCGGAGTGGTGCAACGAGTTTGTGATGCCTGGATGCTTCATGCGGAAGCTGTGGAATCGATTTCGCCATTGAACTGGTAACTGTAAAAAGAAAAAAAAAAACTTTTGCTTTTGTGGACTGACTTATCGAACTGTTGTTTTTCCTCCTCTTACTTATTGGACATTCATTGGACCGGTTTTTTTTTTCCTTTCATTGTTGTAAATTGATACTATGGCTGGTGTAAGGAAAGACTATGACATGATAACTCCATATCTTGGGAGGGGTAGAGGATTGTTGAGGGTGGACGAACCTGTCATTGGTAAACCAAGGGTATTAGTCTACAGTCCCCAATCGTCTGATACCGTACCTGAACATCCTGTTGGGCCGACTGCCTCTACTCCTAGTGATGCTAATGATAACGTTGCAGAGCAGTTACGTGATCTTATCGGTGAATTAGGCAGTCAAATAGGGGAGTCCATCGTCACACGGCTGTTAGCTAGCCAAAGCCCTGTCACACCCTCCAGCTCAGTCCCATTAGGTGCTGTTGCGCCAGAACCCTCTATCGCTAGCCGCAATCTCACTAATGTCACCCTGATGGTCAAGCCAGACGTCAAAGAGCCCCAATGTTTAGAGGAGATGGCACAGACAAATATACGGTTCAGGAATGGATTGAGTTAATGGAATTGTATCTCCGCAAAGCGGATTGCTCTGACACAGATCAAGTAGACGAGATACTGAGCCACCTGCTAGGCAGGGCTAAGAGCATTGTCAAGGTCAGACTCAAAAGCAGCCCTGACGAAGCCGTCTCCCCTGTAACCATCTATGAAGTGTTGAGGCGTTACTTCAGTGAAAGTCCTGGATCATGTCTACCGCTAGCTGACTTTTACGCAACGCGACCCATGGTAAATGAGTGCCCTGTTGATTACTGGGTAAGATTGAACGCAGCTGCTGAGTTAGCAGGTAGCCATTTGCAGAAAAAAGGCGAAAGGATGAAAGACATGAGTTCTGAAATCGCAATGATGTTCATCAGAAACTGTTCGGAGCCGAACCTTTCTAGCATGTTTCGATGTAAACCTATCAGTAAATGGTCAGTTGCAGAAATTCAAGAAGCCATTGACGAGCACCAGAGGGAAGTTCAGTCTAAAAAGCTGTCTACAGTCGCACATAATGTTAATGTGGTCCAAGTCGCTGCAGCTAAATTATCAACCTACCCTCATGCTGTCTCAGAGGGAGAGACTTTGAAATCGGACACACCTATTAATGTCCCTGTAAATTGTTCGAAGACTGCCGTTCCTGCAACTTCGGAGTCTGGCACTTTGGAACGCGTCTTGAGTATGCTGGAAAGGGTATTGGAGCGCACTAGTCAGACTGCTCCTGCCCCACGACAGAGAACAACTCAGTGGCGCAGTTTTTCCCCGTGCAGAGTCTGCGGTGATAGGAATCACTCCACCCGTTCACATTGTATGAGAGAAAGGAGATGTTTGTCATGCATGGAGATTGGGCATCAGCAGAAGCAATGCATCAACGTTGTCAGCTCTGCTAGTCCATCTGCTTCTGACCCGCACGCTCAGGGAAACTAATTCACTCACGTATGGGAGGGGATTATGTGAGTGCAAAGCATCAAACCCTCAATGTGGACGATGATTTTTCTGTTTATGATGAATGTTGCAAGTCTGTCTCTGGTGATGGTATCGTCTTATTTCAGAATGTCACGAAGTTGGAGAAGGCAGACAGTCTGTTCTATACTTCAGTATGTTGAATGACAAAGTTCCAGTTCAAGCGCTGATGGATAGTGGATCTATGGCATGCACAATCAATGAGGACACAGAGCATGAACTGTTGAGTATGGGGATGTCTGCACAGGTTGACCAGTCGCACATGGACGTTCTTCTTGTTGGCTGTGGAGGTGTTCGAGTCAGACCGAAGGGGTCTATCAGTTGCAGATGAATGTGTGTGGCACATTGGTGAGTGTACCCACGTTTGTTGTCCGGGACAGAGGGATCAGTTGATTCTGGGTACTAATGTCATTAAATTCATCCTCACTCAACTCAAGCAAACTCCTAGCTATTGGAATGTCATGAATCGCCCTGAGTCATCTGGTGAACCTGAAGTCGAGCAGTTTCTGAACATGCTGTCAGGTATTAACAGGTGGAAGGGTCGTGTAATTCCTGATATTGTGGGCACAGCAAAATTGACTCAGGCCGTAACTTTGTTGCCCCGACAAGAACACCTCGTGTGGGGAAAACTTCCTCCAAACACACCTATTTCCATGGGAAGTACTATTGTGATTGAGCCACCCAAATCACAGACCCACAAGAAAGGTATCATGGTGGGAAGAGTCATAGCCTCTATGTCTGGAGATGGATGGGTCCCAGTCAGAATCATGAATCCCCTTGATAAGGCTATTACACTGAGAAGGAACTCGAAAATTGCCGATGTCTTCCCCGTTATAGCTGTTGAGGATCTCAGTGTGCATTCTAATCACAACAGTAATGAGATGGTGAGTGTGCAGAGCCAGAGCATCGGAGGAATTGATGAGGGAGGTTGTACTGACTTGGGGCCAAGTAAAAGTCTGCAGAAACTTGGTCTTGGTGATTTAGACATCGAGTCTTGTGAAGTATCCCATTATTGGAAAGGTCAGCTGATACAGCTCATTGGGAGGTATGAGGACGTATTTTCCAAACACAAACTGGATTGCGGAAAAGCTAATGAGTTTGTCCACCATATTCGTTTGTCAGACGATCGTCCATTCAGACTTCCATACCGCCGTGTTCCACCGGCACAGTACCAGAAGCTGAGAAGCGTTCTCTCTGAAATGGAGGAACAGGAAATCATACGCAAGTCCAATAGTGAGTGGGCCTCTCCACTTGTGTTGGTATGGAAGAAGAATGGGGACCTTAGAGTGTGTGTGGACTACCGCTGGCTAAATGCTCGAACTGTTAAGGACGCCCACCCCTTGCCTCATCAGGCAGACTGTTTAGCAGCCCTAGGAGGGAATGTCTTCTTTAGTGCGATGGACTTAACCTCTGGTTTTTATAACGTCATGATGTCTGAAGAAGACAAGAAGTTCACTGCCTTCACGACTCCTATGGGTCTGTATGAATTCAACCGTCTACCGCAGGGGCTTTGTAACAGTCCAGCCAGCTTTATGCGGCTCATGATCAACATCTTCGGGGATCAGAACTTCCTCACGTTGTTATGCTATCTCGACGACCTTCTGGTGTACGCTCCAAGTGAGGAGGCAGCTATTGAGCGGCTTGAGCTGGTGTTCGCTAGGCTCAGGGCACATGGACTGAAGTTAGCCCCGAAAAAGTGTCATTTTCTGAGGAGAAGTGTGAAATTTCTGGGGCATGTCATTGACAACACTGGAGTGGCAACGGATCCAGACAAAGTTAGTGCCATTTCTGCCATATCTGAATCTGACCTGATGATGCCAGATGGAGTGACACCTTCGCAGAAAAAGATAAGGTCATTTTTGGGAATGGTGCTATATTATCAAAACTTCATTCCAAACTGCTCCAGTATAGCGAAGCCATTGTTCACCTTGACAGCTGCACCCAGAGGAAAAAAGGCCACTGTGAGAGGCACTGCTTCATTTAGGAGACTGAATCCCAGTGATTGGAAAAATGAACAGAGTGTGGCGTTCCAAAAACTAAAGACAGCTCTGTTAGAATCTGTTGTGCTGGCTCACCCTGACTTCAGCCGACCATTCGTTCTATGTACAGATGCGTCTATGGATGGATTAGGAGCTGTACTGTCACAAGTACCAGAAGGGGAATTTAAGGCACGTCCTATTGCCTTGCCAGTAAA